GGGGGGGGGGTCCACCTGTGGCCAAACAGAAAAGAAAAACAAATCCAAATATAAGAAACAAAGGGCAGGAGATTAGTAGGTAACAGGACTCACCACTGTCTTACAAAGAAAGCACCAACTAGGAGATAAGCACCAAAAAGGCCTCTTTTCTTTGAAGAAGATCACAAGTGATAATTCTCTCCACGAACACCTCCTAGAAAAGAGCCCCAAACCCGTGGAGGGACAGGCTTACCCCAAACTTTAAAAAGTTGGATTAAAGCTATAAAAAAAGAGGCACAAGAGGAGGAGCCAGAAGGGGAGAGGGTCCAAATCTGACAATCATTTTAGAAGAATCCAAACAAATCTTTTCAAGAATTTGAAGCAAATGCCAAGACCTTATCCAACTCAGAATCCCTAAGTCCCTACCTAAACCCCAAGTCCCAATCCACCTCAGACCCAAGCCCAAAGAAGAGAAGAAAGTGTACATTGGCTCATTTTTATAGTTGGGAATGGCATACAACAACAGAAATTATTCTCTTAAAGGTGAATTCCACACTCCCAGAACCTAATCAGGTTTCCAAAGCATAGATTATACTTGACAAAAGGTAAAAAGACAAGAATGATGGCCTGAATAGATTTCCACGGCACCGCATTGGTCGCTTGAGCCAATACTCTCACATCCCTGCCCTCAACCGCCAAAGCATGAATACTTAATATCCCCTTTGTCCACAACTTATCCCTATCCAACTGTAATCTCCTCAACCATTTCCCTAATAGAGTTGAGATTCTCTCCTGAATGTTCTCGATACCTAGGCCACAAAAGTTCCTACTCCTTACTATTTCCCACCTCACCTTATGCTCCCTTCTTTCCTCTCTATGTTCACACAAAAAATCTCTCATTAACTTTCTGAGACACCTACAAACCTTAACTGGCATTTTGAACACCAACAAGAAGAAGATAGGCAAGTTTTCCAAGGTTGACTTGATTAGAGTGATTCAACCACCAAAGAAAGGTAGCTTCTCTTACAAGAAGCTAAATCTCTTAGTAAACCTGTCCACCACCGGGTTCCAAAACCTCACATTTTTCAGGTTGTCTCCTAATGGTAAACCTAAGTGTTTCATTGGCCACTAGGAAACTTTATAACCCAAAATTGTTGCACCCTGTGACACCACTCTTTCATCCATGTTTATTCCCACCACACAACTTTTATTAAAATTGATTTTCACATTTGACATCCTCTCGAAAAGTTAAATGGTGACCAGTTTCATGTTACTTACTCTAGATACATTACCACCCTCACAAAATAAAATTTTATCATCATCAAATTGTAAATGGGTGATAAGAGTGATAGGCACATGTCCAAAGCTAGAGTGAGAATGGACTAAAATGACTTATCCTTTTTGGAGGTAAGTCATTTTACTTGCAGAAAGGACTAATTCACAAACAAATTCAATAGAACCAGTGAATTAGGGACCGATCATATGAAGTGAAATGTACAATTGAGTGAGCACAGGAATAACACCCGCAATTGACCCAAGACAGGGGAGAAGATAATGGACCTGAGAGAAGAAGGCTTCACACAAACAAGAAGATGGAAAAAATAATTAGCAATCAAAGCGAAGAAATTCATTCTAGAAGAAGGTAAGAGTCATAATCGAATGGTGTTGAAGATTAGAGAAGATGGAAGGCCTTCTATTTTTCTGACTGATGAAGCAGTACCCTGGCTTAAGGGACTATTAGACAGTGTATGCCCTTAGCTCCAATCAGAATGATGTACATTATGACATTTATTGTAAATGAATAAAGTACATATTTGATTCATGTTATTGTGGTGTGTTTCTGTGTAATACCCTTAAACTTGACACATATGAGACTTG